CCTTCTCCTCTCTGTAAAAATAAATACATATGCATTTAAAAAAAGAAAGAAAAATGTTATGTATATACCAGGAAGATTGCTTCATATTCAATAACTTGCACATTATGTTTGCTGTTGTATTTTTTGAATATAGAATATAAGCATATGGAGTCACATCATGTTAGGGGGACGTGATCAGATAATCACTTTCTGATGTTACATGTCAACTAAAATAACAGTTTTAATTTCTTCCAAATTGTACACTACCAATATAGCAGTGGTGATTTTTTTCAGTTGTATATCTTCACTATGGTAAAGAATGCTGCAGTTGGTATGGGTGTGCATATACTCCTTTGAATTTGTATTCTCATATTCTTCGAGTAACTCCCCAGAAATGGAATTGCTGTGCCTTGTGGTACTTGTTTGTCAGTCTCTGAGGAACCTTCATCTTGTTTTGTGTAGTGGCTACATGAGATTTCTCATTTCTTTGTATCATTGCTGATGCTCATTTGTTGATTTATTGGTAATTGCCATCCTGTTACATGTGTGATGGTATTTCATCGTGGGTCCAAGTCGCATTTCTCTGACGATGAATGATGTTGAACATCTTTCATATGTGTACTGGCTGGCCATCTTTCTGTCTTGTTTGAAGAAAGATCTATTCAGGATATGTACCATTTTTTAATCAGATTGTTTGATTTTTTTTCGATGTTGTGTAAATTCTTTATATATTTTGGATATTTAGCATCATTGGTGAATTACTTTCCCGCTTTAGTAGATTTGTTATTTGTTTCTTTGTTTTGTTGGTGATTTCCTTTGCTGTGCAAAAACTTGTACAGCAAGTTGTAGTGTCATTTGTTTATTTTTGCTTAATTGCTATATGTACATATATACCTAAATGTGTACAAAAACACATTGGTAAGATCTACAACACATATCATTGACTATCCTTTATTCCAGTGTTTTCATAGTTTCAGGTCTTCCATTCTGATTTTTAATCCATTTTGAGTCTGTTTTGGTACATCGCATAAGAAAGTGGTCTAGTTATGTTATTCTGTGTGTATTAGTTCAGTTTCTCTTTCACAACTTATTGACACTAACTTGAGTTGAGTTCTGAAAACCCACTACCATTGGACCAGCCTCTCTCTCACAACTTAAAGTATCTGTACCTAACTTATAGATTAGTTAACCATATGCCTTGGGTCATTTCTAAAATTGTGTTACTTTTTTTATCATGATGTTTTTTAAAGACAACTGTATATATTCAGAATGCTAAAGATTTGGAAAATAAATGCTTTGCATTAATTTTCTTCCATTCCACAGGTTGTATTTTTCACCCACTGATGATTAACCTTAATGTGCAGAAGTTTTTCTATTTGGTATAATGCCATTTTGTCTCTGTTTACTTTGTTTGCCTTTTTTTTGGTGTTACAGTGAAACAAATAGGTCAAAATGTTTTTTATACCTTTTCATTTAGTAGATTAACAGTTACTGGTTTTATGCTAAATTTTTCCTCCATTCTTATTCACTATTTGTATATTATTTCATGTAGGGGTCCAACTTCACTCATTATTTCACACATGGACCACCAGTTTTTTCAGCAGTCTTTGATTATGTGAATATCCTTTTCTTATTTGGTTGTATTCAGCCTCCGTGTTGAGGCTCCTCTGAGCTTTTACAGGAGAAGTTGTATGTAGGCTCTTTTATCCACCGTGCTTAATTATTGATGTCTGCCTTAATGGTTTTTATATACTTTATTGATAAGAGAGCTTGAAATGTTTCTAAAAATATTTTATTTATGTAGTTTTATGGAGAAGGGATTGAGGGAGGAGAAAAGGGAGAGAAATATGGATATGGGAGAGACACATCAGTTGGTTGCATCTGTCCTGCTTCCAAAGGGGAGATGACCTGCAACCCAGGCATCTGCTCTGACTTGGAATTGAATCGGCGACCTTTTTTGAGGAATGATGCTCAACCCACTGAGTTACACCAGTCAGCCCCCATCTTCATTTCAGAATGGACTATTCTATTTCTGGGAAAAGTGTCATTGGGATTTTGATAAGTAATGCTTTAAATGTTAGGATAAGCTGGGGTATTACTGATGGCTTACACTAATCATTCCAATGTATGATCATGGGATAAGTTTTTTAAAAGTTTAGTTTATTAATTCTCTTGTGACAAATTTGCATAGTCCTTACTGATAAAGTCACTGAAGAATCTTTCCTCATTTTGTTAGCCATTGCAGTCCCCCTGGCTTTTTTTGTTGTGTTCTTGTGTACCTATCTCTGTTTTCTTCTCATACAGGCCATTTTTATAACTTTATGTTTTGGATATTTGTTTGTATGTAATTTATTGTATCATAAATGAAGACAAAGCCAGTTGTCTTGCCACGTCCAAAATGGGTTCCGAATCCCAACACAAAGCTGACATCTGGGCTGGTCCTATACCTTTTGACTAGTTTTTCCTTTTTTTAATTGGTTGAAGAGGATCAAGTATGGCATGACCAAGTACTATTTCACAAAATAGACCATATAACTATGACCTTTCATAATTGAAAATATTACCTCTAGCTCTGGTTGTGGTTTCTTCCTGTTCTGGTGCAATCAATCAAGAGTCAGAATTCCATTTCAATCTAATATATTATGATGAAAGGTAACATAAACCACGCGAGTCATTACCTGGAGACATAGAGTTGCCAGGAAATCAGTGAAAAGAATGGAGACCAGAGCTCCAAGTCTAAACATTTCAGCTAAGAAGTAATTCATCAGCAGTTTCATATTGCTGGAAGGAAAGGAAATTATGTCAAGACATGCTACATCCTTAATGAAACAGACAATTCTTACTTTTTTTTACATGCCTTTCTCTGTAATCACAGGGATGTAGGTCTCCATGTGATCAGGCACAAAATCATACTATTAAGACCAGTTTCTTTTTTTTTCTTTTTCTTTTTTTAATATATTTTATTGATTATGCCATTACAGTTGTTCTATTTCCCCAGTTCATTCCCCTCCACCCTGCACACCCCTCCCCCACCATTCCCCCTTTTAGTTTATGACCACGTGTCCCAAGTTCTTTAGATTCTATATTTCCCCTACAGTTCTTGCCCTCCCCCTATCTATTTTCTACCTACTGTCTATGCTAATTATTTTCTGTATCCTCTCCCCCCTTCTCCTCCTCCCACTTTCCCTGTTGCTAACCCTCCATGTGATCTTCATTTCTATGGTTCTGCTCCTGATCTAGCTGTCCTCTTAGTTTGCTTTTATTTAAGGTGTGGTTGTTAATAGCTGTGAGTTTGCTGTCCTTTCACTGTTCGTCTTTTTTATCTTTTTCTTAGATAAGTCCCTTTAACATTTCATATAATAAGGACTTGGTGATGATGAACTCCTTGAATTTGATCTTATCTGAGAAGCACTTTATCTGTTCTTCCATTCTAAATGAAAGCTTTGATAGAGCAGTCTTGGATGTAGGTCTTTGGATTTCATGATTTGGAATACTTCTTTCCAGCCCCTTCTTGCCTGTAAGGTCTCTTTTGAGAAATCTGCTGACAGTCTGATGGGAACTGCTTTGTAGGTGACTGTCCCCTTAGCTCTTGCTGCTTCTAGGATTCTCTCCTTCATTGTAATCTTGGGTAATGTAATTATGATGTGCCTTGGTGTGTTCCTTCTTGGGTCCAACTTCTTTGAGACTCTGAGGTTCCTGGATTTCCTGGAAGTCTATTTTCTTTGCCAGATTGGGGAAGGTCTCCTTTATTATTTGTTCAAATAAGTTTTCCACTCATGGCTCTTCCTCTTCCCCTTCTGGTACCCCTATAATTCAGATGTTGGAATGTTTAAAGATGTCCTGGAGGTTTCTAAGCCTCTCCTCATTTTTTTGAATTCTCATTTTTTTATATTTTTCTGTTTGGTCATTTTTTCTTTCTTCTGGTGCACTCCCTTGATTTGAGTGCCAGTTTCTTTTCCATCACTATTGGTTTTCTATGCATTTCTCTTCATTTCAATTAGTTTAGCCTTCATTTGTTCCTCTAGTTTGTGACTAAAATCAATGAGTTCTGTGAGCGTTCTGATCACCAGTGTTTTGAACTGTGCATCTAAAAATGTGGCTATTTCTTGGTCGCTTGGAGTTATCGGCTCTGGGACTTTGAGTTCTTCTTGAGCCATATTTTGGTCTGTTGGCGCCTGTTACATATGAGGAGCACAGCCTTAGGTATTCACCAGGGCAGGTCCACCCAGGTCACTGATTTGTGATGCTGTATTTGGGGGCAGGGTCAAAGAAGGGCAATCGCGGTCCCCTCTGCTGCTTCCCGCTGATGAGGCCTGTGCTGTCTGTCTCACTGCTCGTTCCTTCGCTGATTTATCTGCGTGCGAATGTGTGACTGCTGTCAGCCTGCTGCCTTGTGCCCTCACTGGTTCCACCCATTGCTACCCCACACCTGGGATCCGCCCATGGCTGCCTGCACACCTGGGTGGGGGGATCTTTCCTGCCCCACTACTGACCGCTCTGCTGCTGGCTCTGCCCCTCTTACCGGTTTGGCAGAATGGTTCGTTGTCGTTGGACTTCTGTATAGTTCAGTATTCTGTGTTTTGGCTGCCTTTTTTTGTTACTAAAACTTTCTTGTCTTTAAACTTGGTTGTGTGAGAAGGCACACTGTATCCACCTACGCCTCCATCTTGGCGGAAGTCAAGACCAGTTTCTTAATGAAAGCAAAGGTATTTCCTTCATTAATTTAAATACTGCGCATTTTTGTATTCACACCTTTATTCACATATAAATTACTGTGTCATTTATCATGGTGACCAGTCTTCAAGCAACCAAGGAAGATACTGAATTTTTTATTAATTTATTTTTTTTCTAGAATACAAACTTTTTAATGTGACTATTTCTCATTATACCTTTTCTTGCTTGGAACATTTAACTTTCTTTAGTAGTACTCAGAAAAGGAATGCAGTCTAAACTTGCTGGTAAGTTCATTATATGCTCCCCAGAGTGTCAAACCTGTGAAACTTTTATTTTGTGTCTTTCAGTTGTCTCATCTGAAGACAATCAGGCCTTGTTGAGAAAGCCGGGGATGGAAGATTTATTCTCTGAAGTAATACTGGTAAGAAACGGAAGGCGTGCCTTTTATAATGTAATGATAGCCTGATAGGAACATGTGTGGTGGGAAAAAGGGGTGTTAAAAGGAACGTAACTACCGTAGCACAATTATTCCTTGAGAAAATCCTTGTTACCTCTATGGGTCAAAAATAGTACACATTAGGGAAATATTCTACTTTAAGTCAGTGACAGTACAGGTAATTGTGTGTCCAAAAGGGAAGACTAGAACCAATTTCTTGTGTGTATATATTCTTGCAAAGGCAGTCAGGACATTTAGGAACTCACATAATGCATGATACGAATAATCATTTGAATTGATTGATTAAATTGTAGATTTAGATTAAATTTACAGTTAGTGTGTTCTAAAATTTAGTGATATATAATGCACATGGACAATTTAAATATCAGTTTCACAGTCTTTTTATTAAAGAATGATTATCTTTTTTGAGAAATAAGGGTTGTTTTCATGTTTAAGTATATATCATGTTGTAAACTTGGGAGTGAGTGATTTTTTTAAAAAATTTGATTCATTTTTAGAGAGCAAAGAAGGGAGGGGAAAAGAGAAAGCTAAACATTGTTTTGTGAGAGAAGCCTCAAATGGGTGAGATTTGCACACACCCTTTCAGTAGATGGAACCTACGATCCAGGCCAGCTCCCTGATTGGGACTAGGACTGGAAAGGCTTCACTTTGTGAAACAGTGCTCAACTGAGTAGTCACACCTCTCACATTTTTCAGTACATACAACCAACATTGTTTAGTAGATACCACAGAATAGTTATTTGGGAATAAGTGTACATGTGTAATGAAATTAAATCTGTTACTAATGGCCTTTCTGTCCTCATTAATTACCAGAGTACATGTAATGAAGGTAGAAGTTACCAAGGTAAAGAACACTGGAAAAAATTTGACCATGGGTTTAATCCTTACAAACTGGAGAATCTTCAGCTGCCACACAACCATTGTAATGGCCAGAAACTCTTTGAGAAAATATCAAATTACAGTACACATGAGGTTATTCCTATCGTGGAGAAAACAAACAAACAGCGTAATGGTGTCCAGTCTTTGAAGCAGTCCTGCAGTCACATTAAACAAGGGAATGTTGGTAGCAGCGAAGTCACTTACAAATGTGAACCGTGTAGCAAAGTCTTCAGTCTTATACTCAATCAAAATAGACATCTTGAGAAATGCCAGACTGGAGAAAACCATTCTGAATATAAAGAATGTGGAAAAACATTCAGTCAAACTTCAGGTCTTACTGTACATGAGAAAATTGATACTGGAAAGAAGTTTTCCAAATGTAAAGCATGTGGCAAAGTGTTTAAAGGGCATTCATGCTGTACTTCACATGAGAAAAGAATTCATACTGGGGAGAGACCTTACCAGTGCAGAGAATGTGGAAAAGCCTTTAGCCAGCCCTCAGGACTTATTCAACATCAGAAAACTCATTCTGGGGAAAAGCCTTATAAATGTAGAGAATGTGGTAAAGTCTTTAGGAAATTATCATACCTTACGCGGCATGAGAAAATTCATACGGGAGAAAGGCCTTATAAATGTAGGGAATGTGGTAAAGCATTTACCCAGTCCTCAGGGCTTATTCAACATCAGAAAACTCATACTGGTGAAAAGCCTTATAAATGTAGAGAATGTGGTAAAGCCTTTAGCAAGTTATCATACCTTACACGACATGAGAAAATTCATACAGGAGAAGGACCCTATAAATGTATAGAATGTGATAAAGCCTTTATGTGGTTGTCAGACCTTACACGACATGAGAGCATTCATACTGGTGAGAAGCTTTATCAATGTAGAGTGTGTGGTAAAGCTTTTAACCAGTCTTCAAAACTTAAATGCCATCACAGAATTCATACTGGAGAGAAGCCATATAAATGTAAAGAATGTGGTAAAGCCTTTCGCCGGTCCTCAGCCCTTTTTTACCATCAGAAAATTCATACTGGAGAGAAGCCTTATCAATGTAGGGAATGTGGTAAAGCCTTTAGCCAGTTCTCAGGACTCATTCAACATCAGAGAATTCATACTGGGGAAAAGCCTTATAAATGTAGAGAGTGTGGTAAGAACTTTGCCCGGTGCTCATCACTTTATCAACATCACAGAAGTCACTCAGGAGAAAAGCCTTATGAATGTAGTGAATGTGGTAAACACTTTGCCTGGTCCTCAAAACTTAATCAACATCAGAGAATTCATTCGGGGGAGAAGCCTTATAAATGTGCAGAATGTGGTAAAGCCTTTACGGAGTCCTCAATCCTTAATAAACATCAGAGAGTTCATACTGGGGAGAAGCCTTATAAATGTGCAGAATGTGGTAAAGAGTTTGCCTGGTACTCATCACTTTATCTACATCAGAGAATTCATTCAGGAGAGAAGCCTTATAAATGTAGAGAATGTGGTAAAGGCTTTTCCCAGTCCTCAAAACTTAATCAACACCAGAGAATTCATGCTGGAGAGAACCTTATGAATGTAGAGAATGTAATAAAACATTTGGGTGTTCCTCAACCCTTATTCAACATCAAAGAAGTCATCCTGAAAGAAAGCCTATCATACGTACAGAGTGTGGTGAATCCTTTAGCAAATCCTTAAATCCTACTCAACGTCAGAAAATTCATACTGGAGAGAAGCCTTATAAATATAGAGAATGTAATAAAGCTTTTAGCCCATCCTCAAAACTTAATCGGCATCAGAGATTTAAAATGGGAGAGAAGACTTGAAAATGCAGTAAATGTAGCAAAGCCTTTAGGTGTTCCTGAAATCTTAATAGACATCAGCAAATTTATAGTGGAGAGAAGCCTTCTAAAGGTAGAGAATCTGGCAAGGGGCTTAGCCAGTCCTCTCACCTTTCTGAACATCAGAATATTCATACTGGAAATAATGTATATTATGTGGTAAAGCCATTAGGCTGTCCTCTTACCTTACTAACATGACAGACTTCATGGAGGATAAGAACTACAAGTGTAGGAAATGTGTCAAAGCTTTTCACCTGTGCTCAGTACTTCCTCAACATTGGAGAATTGATGCTACAGAGAAAGAATAAAATTTGAAAAACTTGACAATACCTTTTATCATTATTCAGCTGCAGTCAGTGCCCCTGCCTGGTTTGGGGTCCAGTCCCCAGCTGGGGGCATGGGGGGTGAGCAACTGATTGACACATCTCTCCCATGTTAATATTTCATTCCCTTCTCTCTAAAATTAAATGAAATCTTGGCTGTTTGTTTTGCTTAAGAATTTAGTTATTTATTTTCAGAGAGAAGGAGAGAAACTCATTGTGTGGTTGCCTCTTGCCTGCCCCCTACTGGAGACCAGCAACCCAGGCATGCACCCCGGACTGGGAATGGAACATGGGACTCTGGTCTGTAGGCCTGTACTCAATCCCCTGAGCTATACCAGCCAGGGCAAAATCTTGTTTTTTAAACTAAAGCATATTTATTTATTTTGCACTAAGTTTATCTTAGCATATACTAAATTGTGTCATCATCCCCCACTCCAACTTGAAGAAGGATTAGTACAAATATGAAGATTAACTGACAAAAACTTTCTTCAAAATCATGATAACAATGTTTAAGTAAGAAAGGGGTGGGAATTATGGGATTTTCAGATGGAAGAAGATTAATACATATCATCTAACACATTCAGTGTTGACTAGAGTGAACCAAAATGTAAAACAGGATTACTGTAATAGAAAACTTTTAGTACAGATTGCAGTACACACCTGTGTTCCAAGCCCTTCCCCAGCCATCTAATGCTTCCAGCACAACTGCTTTCCAGCCTGTAAAACCTTTTTTAAAAAGTTAAGAAGAATTGCTACTAGATAAAACTTTAAAAAGAAGATTTAGAAACAGTTTAGCTAAATCACAGCCACACTGTCTCTCAGGGAATGTACACTGCGATGGAATTATGTGTTCATCACAAAGAATGAACAGCTTCAAAATATGCAGTTCACAAGAACCCATGGAATTTATGCCTGAAAGTTGCTATCTAGTGTTCTGGACCGCTCTTCCTGGTTTTAGGAATTGTTACCCTAACCCCCTGCCCCGTGGCTAAGGATGAGCGAGCACCCTCTGGAATTCGAGCCACAGGAGACAAAGGTGGTCTCTGGTAGCAAATGCTCCCTCAGCTTCCTCTCCCTTCCCCTAAAACTTGGTCAGAAGTCAATGACAGGTAAGTCTCACAACAGGGAGTGACCTAAGTCAGACTCAATCACTTGGAAGGCCATCATGGAAGGACTTGGGGGGCTGCAACAAACAGGGAGCAATAGACCCGTGCCCTTTGGCTATGTGAGGTAGCCAGAGTCCCCATGTCCTCTGGGAGAAGTGGGTCCTGGCTCTAATCCCCTTAAGCCTGAATACCTGTTGGGAGGGGTGCAGCTTTTTGCCTTGCCAAAGCATGTTTGAGGGAAAATCTGTTACCACAAAGAATTACTTAAAAACCTGTGAAATCTGCTCTGCTAAGAGTGCTTTCATTCATATGATAAGGGTCTGAGAGAAAATGAGTGTCTCCCAAAGTTTCTGAAAAACTCTCATCCTGACAGACACTGACTCAGAATAAGCCCTCAGATTTCTTTGAAATGTTGTCTACTGTTTGATCCTTGCCAATCCTGACAGACACTGACTCAGAATAAGCCCTCAGATTTCTTTGAAATGTCTACTGTTTGATCCTTGCCACCCTGTATTCCTGTGTATTACAACCCAATAAGAGCCCCTGAAGGAGGGTGCTGGACCCCTTTTTCCCCTGAGAAACTGGCCATTGCTCACGGCTCTTTCCTCTTGACGGGTCAGCCACCTCTTTTCCCCAAGCAGATCATGTCATGTCATGTTTACTTGCATCTGTGGCAGACAAACTTGTGAGAAAAGATGCCCCCACAGTCAGGATATATACAAATTTAGGAAAGTATGTGATTGAAAAAATTTCAAAATATCAAGAATTGACAGTAAATACTTAATCAAAGATACTTAGTTTTCCGGTATTGCTCTAAATCAGAATTCTTACTATAGAGAATCATGCAAAGTTTAAAAATATAGACAATTACCTGGTACAGATGTGGGGACCACAGGAAGGGGTGGGTGGGCTGGGATGTCTGTAAAAGACAGAAAACTGCTTGAGCAATAATTTTTAAAAAGTCAATGTGGCTGTTCAATAAAACTTTATTTATGGGCACTAGAAAAATATAATTACCTTTTAGTGTATCCAAACATCTAGGAGATGGGCTTTCGATATGTATCCTATTATATGTTGACAGAATTTGAGGTATTTTGAAAAGGAAATATTCATGTGATTCCAATGTCATTTCACTTCATGCTACTAGTTTTTTTCCCCTAATTTGTGTGTGAAATGGGGTTCATTGTTGCTGCCTAACATATCTGTGAACTCTTGTATACTAGGTGAGTTTCACTCATGTACTTTTCCACAGAAGACTGAGGACATTGGGATGCACAATGTATGAAGAAAATCTAAATGGAGATGCCCTTTGTGGTTGACTTAGACTTGTGTTGCATGTCTCCAAGCAGGGTGTCTTTCGTTTTTTGCATTAATGTAAGAAATAGAAACATTAAGTACTTGACCAAGATACCCTTTATAGAAACAATTATGTCAATATATTAAAATCCAGATGTATATTCAGGGTAGTCATAGAACTAATGAATATTAATTGGTGTGGTTGGAGCAAAAAAGTGGTCAGGGATATGTGAGAAAGTACAGACAGCTTGCCCCTAACTATGTGAAATTGTTCATCTATATTTGCTAAATAATTAGCTTCCAGTTTCAAAACCAAAGAAAGTTCTGCTATGAGATCATTGTATCACAAGGACAGAAACTCTTGTTAGTGATTGTAAATGTGTGTGGTGACAGAATCATTTTGACATCCTGTATTTATTTAGATGATGTGAACTGTTTTCATTAATACAGCTGAAGTTGATTTATTTGTCAACCTCGAGGTTCACATATTTAACCTTGCTCAAACTTGTAGTAACAAGGTATACTTCAGTATATACTTGGTAATGCACTGCAGTTATGTCATTACGCATTTCTTCAGAGACTGAGACATTCATGTGAGAAAATTCTCCATTGTTGATATATTTTATAGTACCTACTAGAACATTATGCTGTAGAGGCAATAGAGATGACGTGATTTTTTTGAAGTTTAGCTAAGGCACTTTATGATATTAGTGCTGTGCCATTTACTTTCTGTAAGTAGGAGCCTTGAACCGACACTGCATTTTCCCACAATTTCTTGCTCTAGACAGTAGCTCACAGAGTCACAATTAAACTTACAGAGTCCGTCAGAAGTAACAGCTGCTTGAGTGTGGCTGGTAGGGTACGTGAATGTCTCGCATAAGATGGACGAACAGTTTGAATATTTCATCTAAAATATATGGTGTATGTGATGTGATTATGTTACAGCATTAGATACTTAATGATTTTGTAATAAAAGATTTAGTAATTAAAAAAGATGTGTTATTTGCACCAGACTATTGAAGTTATTGGAATGACATACTTAAAACTGCTGTGCCTAATGGTCTTCTTTCACCTCAGGGTGTTCTGACATTTCTTCATGAGTGATGTTCACATTCAGATCCAGCACACCTAGGTGTGAAAGTGGTGTTTGGGCACCTGTTACTGTGGCAACTGTCCTCCAGTGGGAATTTGTTTTCTTTCCAAAACAATGGCTGTATGTTCTTTTATAAGTCATCCTAATTTTCCCACTCCATGTGAAATATTTTTTAAATATATTTTATTTATCTTTAGAAGAGATGGGAAGGAGAGAGGGAGAGAAATATCAATGTATGGTTGCCTCTCGTGCATCCCCTGCTGGGAACTGGCCTGCAACCCAGGCCTGTGCCCTGACTGGGAAACAAACCGCAAGCCTCTGGTACACAGGCCTGCACTCAATCCACTGAGCTACACCAGCCAGGGCTCCATGTGAAATATTTTCATAAGTCCTGAGATCAAAAGCATAGGAACTAATTAGCAAGAAAGATCTAAAAGGTGTAACTGTTTCATCCCTGACTCTTATAATTTAACATTAAGATAGTTTTAGGGTCAATGTGAAGTTAAAACTCAAAACCCTGACAAAATCCAAATCAAGGACATGGTCCTAATGCTTATTGAAGTCAGATTCCAGTTGATTTAAATGGTTCCCCTGAAGTTCCTCCTTCTGGACACCATGTATTAGTGATAGGAATTTCTACTTGTAGGGACATGTGAGAAGCACAAGGACCCTGGGATAAACCTAAAAATCTAGATGTGTTGCTAAAAATGGTGGGTGTAGATAATACCAAATGAAACTCTTGTGTGCCATGTAGAGTGCTATTTAAAAAAAATTGCCCTGACTGATGTGGCTCAGTGGATTGAGCATAAGCTGCAAGACAAAGGATCCAGTCAGGACACATGCCTGGGTTGTGGGCCAGGTACCCAGTGCAGGTGTGGGGGGCACCTGAGAGGCAACCACACATCGATGTTTCCTTCCTTCCCTTTCCCTCCCTAAAATAAATAAATGAAATCTTTAAAGAATTATTGTTGTACAGTTTAGGTTCTATAAAGTTATAGTATAACAGTCACTGTGACTTGATAAACTTCCAATAATCCTTGAAACTGTTAGTATTTATTAGAAGAAGGTAGCTAGGGAAAGTGCTTATTTCACAAGAAAGGAGTGTTTCTGGTACTCTTGGATGTGACTAGGTGAAGTCAGGAACAAAGGAAGGAGAGAACTAGATTTGTATTCTCAGGAGAAGTGGAGTTGAGAAAAAGATCCTTCCCCCCTGTGGTGCCCAGAAATAGGTCTGTGAAGTACATTCCGCCCGGCAAAACTGCACATTTGTTGTAGACTGGAGGCCTCTGAATACCACCTTTCTTTTTTTCTTTATTTTTCTGAAGGTTGAGGTTCACCTTTATTGAGGTGTGTTTGTTGTGTTCCACCATAATGTGTGAGGAGGACCCTACCTAGGTCTTTGAATAGGAGGAGTCTTGTTAGACACTTATATTTATTTGTCATTGAAGCCTAGGACTTTTTAAAATTTCTTTGGAGGGGAAAAGTAAATGTGTTTCGTGCCGTGCCCTCCTCCGCCCCCCCACCCCCACCGTGACTCAAGCATGTGTAGCTTCAGTGGATACAGATGGAATGATGTTTTGAGTAAAGTCTGCCCCTTGCTTTGAGTATACTTTAAAACCCTTCCATTCTAATGAGTACTTGACAAAGTTATCAGTGTTCTGAAACACACAAGATGCCAATCAGCATTTTTCAAAGTCTGGCTCAGTACTTCTTCCTCAAGTTAGAAGAGTACACAGAAGGAATTCTTCCAGGGAGTTCTACCCTGGGCACCCTGTAAGCCATGGATGTGTTGGGTGTGATGAAAACCCATGTAAAGAGTTTGTGGATTTGTACTTAAATATTTTCCAAACCACTCTTTTCTACTAATGATGTAGATTAGGAGGCTGATAACTTCCCTGTATTTCTCATATGAACCCTCCTAAAGTAGGGCACTGAATAAATTAAATGCATTGGAAAAAAGTAAATGTATATAATGAGAACAAAGGCAGGAAAAATTTCTGATGGAAGTTGCACTGTTATATAATTACTATTATAATTATCAACCTGTGGTTGTGATGACACATCTGTGCCATTTAATAGTAAGCTTGATGTAGGTGTAAGATATAAGATACATAGTTATAGCATGGGGAAAAATAACTCTTTATTGTGGTAAGCCAAACAAAACCTAGGAATATGTTTTGCCACCAGAAAACAAACGTCCAGGAAGCTCCCTGGGGGTTTTCAGTGAAAGAATTTTTTTGTTCTTGCATCTTTTTTTCAGTGACATATTGTTTTCTTTGAAGGTTTTATTTACTTTTAGAGTGGATGGGAGGGAGAAAAAGAAGAAAATGTCAGGGAGTGGTTGCCTCTCAAGTGCCTCCTACTGGAAATCTGGCTTGCCACCCAGTCAATTGAACTAGCAACCTTTGAGTTCATAGGCTGCTGCTCAGTTCACTGAGCTACACCAGCCAGTTCCAACATTTTCTTGTTTCAGCTGGTCTACCTGAGGCTCCCAAAGTCAAGGCTGCAGATAGGAGCATTTTATCTCGAATAATTGTACCTCTTTGGAAATACTGATTTCAAGAATTCCCCTTTTATATTATCCTCATTCCTACTATTTAACATACTTTATCCTTTCACATTGTTGGTTATTTTTCATATTTTAAATTTTAATAATAGGGAAAAGGAGAGCGAAAATCAATTTCTGTTTCCACTTATGCATTTCTTGTTTGATTCTTCAGTGATTTTAAGAGAAAGAGGAAGGGAGACAGATAAATATAAATTTGTTGTTCCACTCATTTATGCATTCATTGGTTGGTTCTTTTTTTTTTTTTTTAAGATTCTATTTTTACTTTTCGAGGGAGAGGTAGAAAAACATCAGTGTGTGGTTCCTTCTCCTGCACCCTTTACTAGGGACCTGACCTGCAATTCAGGCTGTGCCCTGACTTGGAATGGAGCCTGTGACCTTTCAATTTGTAAACTGCAGCTCAATCCACTGAGACACTCCAGTCAGGGATCATTGGTTGACCTCGAATGTGCCCTGAGCAGGAATAACACAAGTACCTTGGTGTATTGAGACAACGTTCTCACTCACTGAGCTACTCAATTATGGCTTTAGAATAACCATTGATATGTAATTAATTTAGAAATACATTGCCTTTCATTGTCCGACCACTCTGAATGAACTATGTATTCTCACTTACCCCGTTTTCAAGTTTTAAGTGGTTTATGATGATGAAATACTTGTAAATACCCTCAAAGACCTAGGCCTCTTTCTCCATGCTGCCTGAACATTAGGTAGCCTCAGGACTGGAGGAGCTGTTTCAAACTTAATCCCTTCACAGGCAGAGAGTTCAAAAGGATGTACAGAAAAGCAAAGCAAACAAAATGCAAATAAAAGAACCTTTATGCTTATAGGTGTTTTGTTAAATTGCAGTCCTTTCTGGACAAATGTTATTTTAAATTTCTCGTGATGGCCCTGTATAACTCAGTGGATTGATTGCCAGCCTGTGAACCAAAAGGTCAGTTTTTATTCCCAGTAAGGGGACATGCCAGTGTTGTGGGCCAGGTCCCCAGTTGGGGGATGTGAGAGGGGAAACTGATCATGTATTTACTTCCCACATCAGTTTTTACACCCTTCCCCTCTAAAAATAAATGTTAAAATTTGTTCTTGATGTAGAGGCAAATTATATATGTCGATATGTTCACTTTTCATTTTTATTGGATGCAGAATACATTCTGAGTTTCACATTAATTTTCTTTTTGTCTCATAGTCACACGCACGTTATTTTGCCAGTTTTTGAGAATTCCCTAAAAGACTTCTCTGCTAGTTTTTTTTGTGACTACATCGAATCATACAAAATGGTTCTAAAGTCAAATGCAATGATCAAGGAAAGAATATAACCTACGAGAGCTACATAGAGACTGCAGGCCCTAACCCTGAGCCAAGTCCAGTCCCCTGTCCAGGTGTTTGCCTTCACGTGGCTGCAATTGAAATTCCTCTCCTCCCCGGAAGCAGTCTGCGTGGACTGTAACGTGGCTGCAGCACGCACGCGCAGTGTGTGTCTCACTGGGAGGAGGTTATAGAGCAGTACAGGTCCCGGGAGTCTTCCGGGTCTGGTCCTTCAATTTCAAACCTGAGGCGCTCTGGCCGCTGTCCTGCACGCGGGAAGCCTCACTATCGCTGTGGGCCTTGAAATGCCGCTGCGCCTCACGCAGCGCTGAACCCCAGCCCCATATCCAGGTGAGACTTCCCGAAACCCCGACCGGAGGGCCTGTTTAAGCGGAAACCCTGAGGTCGTCCCGCCAGAGAGTTCTTCACCTTCCAGTTGTTAAATTCCGACCGCCGCGTGGCTTTCGTGGCGAAAGCCGCTCCCTCGGCAGCCGGCCCACCCCACGCCCTTTAAGGTCTGAGGAGACGAAGCGGGTGGAACAAATAATTGGTGCGCCTCGCCGTCCTCGGCCCACGGAGGCCGAATTGCCCCTTGGTGTGGGATCTTCAGCCCTCTCTACGGACATCCGCCCGCCCCACGGACACCCATATGACACCCAGCAAGCGGCTGGGCGAGCGCGTACAAGTGGGACCGTTAGAGGCTGTGAAGATGAGAGAGCAGAGAGACAAACGGCGCCCAGTCAGTCCTTCAATAAGAGGCTCTTCAGACAGGGAGAGTGGTTCGGAGGAGAGGAGTTGGAGGTGCGAGTGTAGGGATAGAAAGGCGATTTGGGGAGACAGGTTTGAGCGGGAAACTGCACTGCAAGTCCGGTGGCTGTGGGGTGACAGGAAAGACAGTAACGGGGGCCGCAGAGGGGATACAGGCCCGGAGGAAGCGCGGGAGCCGGAATTGTATGGAGACGGGAGCAATGAGAAAGATCGGGGGGAAAAAAACAAGTGAAGCTGAAATGCCATAGGTTTGAAGAGTTTCTCGGAACAGTTGTAGGGACAGGAGTAAAGAAAAGAGGGGAAAGGAGGGTTGAATTAGTGACTGTGAGCCAGAAAGGAAGTGTTCCCCTTTCATCCCTGTTGTCCATTCTCTGAAACTACTGAAGGATGTACAAGCGCGACCTTTTGCCTGTTCATGGCGAAGTGATTTGACAGGCATATTTCAATAGCTTACTTTTCCCAAAGCTTTTAGCATGAAGGTCTCTGTTCTCTGCAGTTATCTGAGAAAGGAGGAAGGCAGTCTGCCTAGGGTGCTGCACTTCTAGAAGTTCTTGCTTCAGTGCCTCAGTACCCAGAGGTCTGAGGTGTGCTGGGTCTACTATCTATTGCCCAGTGGTACTGAAATGAGCTCTGGGGGAGCAACGCAGGCACCAGGAAGGAATTAGATAAAGATGCCAGTTCATGGTCCTCACTGCTGAGCTGCAGATTCATAACCTAGAGTGGGGCCCTGATCCCCAAGGGGTCAGCATGTTCATTAAACTGAAAGGTTCCCCCTTGGTTCTTATTAGTTCACTTGAGTTTTAAGAAAAGGCATCAGCTGTAGGCATCTACTCCCCCACAGAGTTTGTCAACTGCTCTGCGCAGGGCTTGGTTGTTTAATGAGGTCTTGTAATGGATTCTAAGATGGTCCCTGGGATTAGCAAGAGGGACACCAAATGCATTTGTGAGTGTGAGGAGCAGGCTTTGTTCAGGAAAGATAAAAGGGTGTAGCCCTGGAATTGGGGTTCAGGAGAGCAGTGCATGCTCTCATTGCTATAGGAGTTTGTGGACGTCTGTGGGAGGAAGGAGCACCTGAAAGGAGAAAGAACTCCCAGCGTCGTCTCCATGTTGGAGCTCATTTTTCGTGATCCTGCTATGAAAAAGGGCAGGAGACAGTGGCCTTTTCATCATTTCTAGGTCCTTCTGCCCGTGAGTGTGGTGGAAGAGGATAAAGGGGCTGTGTGGACACCTTTGAAACCACATCCTTAACGTGCACACTTGACTCCTCAACACATCGTCTTCTGAGAAAACAACCCAGAGCCTGAGCAGGATGACATGGCCACTTCTCAGGTAAACTGTGTGTCCTGGGTCAGAGGCTGTGTTTTTCCTCCTCACATGAGTAGATTTAGATCTTGCAGTGTTTTTTTCTCTTCTTCTGATGTTCTTGCTTAGTGATGGTGTTCTGTAATATTTTCTTTCAATGATTTTCAGCATGAACAGTTTATGTACTTTTTTCTTCCATTTATGACTTAATTTAGATAATTTGTAATAAAGGAAAGGTGGACGGTTAAGAAATCCAGAGTTTGAGGCAAAGTTTTTAGAGCAAAACTTTTGCAAATAGGGACTTGCAGGCATCCATTGACCAAATCATGGTGGTTGTTTTCTCCAGCCTTCTCTTCCTTATCTTTAGCTTTCTGAGGTCAGGAGTTTTCATGTTTAAATAATAACCTTCAACTATTGAACACATCCCCTCTGTGACAGATCAATATGGGAAGGCACCTGTGTCCAACATCCCTGTTGGGATAGTCTCAGAGGCTCAGATGTTGGTAGGGAAGAGAACTATAGACTTTAGGTTCATGTGGCTGTAGCATCAACTCTGTATATCAGGGTGAGCAATCACACAATTTACTGGTCAGGATAGCTCAGAAAGTTCTGACAAAGAAGGGTAGGTAGAAGAGCCTTGTTTGCTAGTTTTGTACAGAAGTCTTGGTACTGAAATGCACTGATTAGGGTACAAAATGGGACAGGTACATGTGAATTTGCATTTGCAAAAATTAATGTTTATTTATGATCATTTTCACATAATGATTTTTTTATTCCTGTATTTTTTAGCAGTAACGTCACAGCTGAGATGACATGTACTTCCTTATGCCTCAGTCAGAGCATTCCATTGCTCCAAACCACCTGATAGTCACCTGACTAAGGTGCTATCTTAACTATGGAGTTAAGTTTCCCTTTATCATTGACAAGATTCTAGCAGACAATTATTGAGAAATGCAATAAAACTATCACATTTTATCTGCAAATTTTGTTGTCATTTTAGTTTGTTTGCTTTGGAAAATGAAGGCCCTGCATTTATTTCCTCAAGATCAATGGTTTCAAACATGAAAGATTTACTCAATGAAGCCTTATTCTTGCAAATTTTCATTATATTCCACACTCATGTTACAGCCATATCCTGTTAGTTTTTGTATTTTCAATAAAGTTTACAAGATCAATATAAGTTTATTTTCAGTTCAGTTAAATTTCTAAGATAATACCTCTCCACTAATGATACAAAAAATTTTAAGAGAAATAAAAAACTCTGAAATAATAGCTCTAACTTTATGTATGTTGCTCTCCTTATTGTGTTTACAAAACAGAGAGTACCATCCACAATTAGATTTATGAGATTTACAGAATCACAAATCTTAATTTCATTCACATGAAAATTCTGTTTTCTGTCACTTTTCAATTGTACCTAGTTTGCATATATACGTCAGTCTGTATGCATAAAATGTTAATATTTCAGTTATTTAGGCTTTTACTCCTCAGATGTTTGCATTCTTCTCAGTTACTGAAACTCCAAAGAATAACATGAGATCTCTTTACATGTATTTGCCTGTGCTTGTTGAAAAATTGTACATCAAGACTGGGGAAAAATTTAGCTCTATCCTTCACTATGTGTTTCACAAAATACTCTTATAACATAGGAAGAATAATTTTTTCTAAGATTTTACAACATTTTTAAATAGTATTTTGGCTGCTGTTTATTATTTCTCGAGAATTGTAAATTTTATAAAACTTTTTCAATTCCAAGATATGTCTAGTGTTTTATGAAAGGAGAAAAGGTTAGCATTCCCATTGACAAGGATGAAAAGGATATGTTTCAATTCTGTATTGTTTTATGTACTTTTGAGAAGTATGGCACATGGTCAGAGACATTCCTGTCAGTAGTAAAAAGTGAGCTCGTTAAAGATGTGGAAACACAGGCCCCATCCCAGACTCCTGTATCAGAATTTGCACTTTTGCAAATCTTCAGTTGTCTTTTGTCTGAATTAAATGTCGATAAGTACGTATACTTTCAACTCCCCATGAGTTTCGTAGCTGAGAAATGTTCACAGCTCATTCCAGATGATACAAATACAACACTCACATGCATATGCCTGTGTAGATGCCTTCATTTTAAAGTTTATTTTTCCAAAAAGTAAAGTCTCTGTTTGTGGTTTGTGGTAGTCAACATCATTTCTCAGTATTTGAAAATACAATACAGTATATATCTGATTGAAAATGATATTAGTAAGTAAGTCAGGCTACTCTTTTTGCTCAAAACCACTTCTCCTAACAGTGTTTGCTTGTTGGATGACATTTTGAACTCTGCTGTTTCAGGGACCATTGACCTTCAGGGACGTGTCAGTAGATTTCTCTCAGGAGGAGTGGGAATGCCTGGACCCAGGTCAGCGGAAATTGTACGTGGATGTGATGTTGGAGAACTACAGGAACCTGGTCTCCCTGGGTGAGGAGGATGACTTCCTTTCAGACCTCCTGCTCCACCTGTGGAGTTTAACATCTTTTGTTAGTTTAACATCTTTTGGGGACTTCTGCTTTGTATGGGAGCCCTTCAGATTCTAGCTCTCAATGGAGAAATTGGAGGTTATCCAGTGTAGAGAGAAAAGACTTCGTGAACGATGTGAATTAGGAACTTTTAGTTTCTGAAAACTTTACATGTGGTCTAGAATAATTAAGTTGCTTCTGAAAACAGTATTTTGGAAAATCACTTTCTAGAATATTTTATATTACCAGTTTAATTACCTGAGAAGAAAGTGGAATGGAAAATGGGAAAATTTCCTCAAAACTAATGACTCTTAGGACTTCCAGCCAAGATGGAAGCGTAGGTTGAAACAATGTGCCTCCTCGCACAACCATTTTTAAAGAGCACAAAGTTTTAGTAACAAAAACGCAACCAAAACACTGAAAATTGAACTGTATGGAAGTCCAGCAACAACAAACCATTTAGCCTGACCGGTAGTAGGGCGGAGTCAGCGGCTGGTGGAGTGGGTTGGGCAGGCAAAAGCTGCAGGACTGACCCAGGAGCACAGGCTGGCGGTTGGTGGATCCCAAGCATGGGGTGGCAATAGGTGGACCCAGTGAGGGCACAAGGCGGCTGGCTGACTGAGGTCACACATTTGCACGCAGATTAACCAGGCGAAAGAGCGAGTAGTGAGACAGACCACACAGGCTAGGGCTTCAGTAATGGGATTTAAAGCCTTAAAAGCACCAATTGGAAAAACTTTCGGGGTTGAGGTGCCAGGAGAAGCTCTCAGACTCACAGAAACTTTGTTGGAGAGACCCACAGGGTCCTGGAGGGTGCAACCGCCCACACACCCAGCAGCTGGCACCAGGAGGCCCGGTTTGCTTGTGGGAAGCAGCAGAGGGGACAGAGGTCCCAGAGAGAGTGTGGAACAAAGGCCATTGCTTCTGTCTGACCCTGCCCCCACATACAGCGTCACAACGCAGGGACTGGGTGGCCCCGCCATGGTTAACACCTAAGGCTCCACCCCTCATACATAACAGGCGCCAACAGACCAAAATATTATGGCTGAAGAACAGCTCAAAGCCCCAGAGCTGATACTTCTAAGTGTCCAAGAGATAGTCAGCCTATCAGATGCACAGTTCAAAACATTGTTGATCAGGATGCTCACAGAGCTAGTTAGAGGAACAAATGAAGGCTAAACTAGGCTTTCCTTGAAATGAAGGGAAATGCACAAAAAAGCAATAATGATGGAAAGGAAACTGGGACTCAGATCAAGGGAGTGGACCAGAAGGAAGAAGAAAATGACCAAACAGAAAAAAATGAAGAAACAAGAATTCAAGAACATGAGAAGAAGCTTAGGAATGTTCAGGACATCTTTAAACATTCCAACATCTGAATTATAGGGGTACCAGAAGGGGAAGAGGAAGAGCAACAGTGGAAAACTTATTTGAACAAATAATAAAGGAGAACTGCCCCAATCTGGCAAAGGAAATAGACTTCCAGGAAATCCAGGAAGCTCAGAGAGTCTCAAAGAAGTTGGACCCAAGAAGGAACACACCAAGGCACATCATCATTACAATAGCCAAGATTAAAATGAAGGAGAGAATCCTAGAAGCAGCAAGAGATACAGGGACAGTCACCTACAAAGCAGTTCCCATCAGACTGTCAGCGGATTTCTCAAAAGAGACCTTATAGGCAAGAAGGATCTGGAAAGAAGCATTCCAAATCATGAAAGTCAAGGACCTACATCCAAGACTACTCTATCAAAGCTTTCATTTAGAATGGAAGGACAGGTAAAGTGCTTCTCAGATAAGATCAAATTCAAGGAGTTCATCATCACCAAGCCCTTATTTTTATGAACTGTTAAAGGGACTTATCTAAGAAAAAGAAGATAAAAAATATGAACATGAAAGGACAGGAAACTCACAGTTATTAACAATCACCAACTAGATCAGGAGGGAACAATAGAAATGGAGATCACATGGAGGGTTAGCAACAGGGAAGTGGGAGGAGTAGAAGAGGGGAGAAGGTACAGTGAATAAGTAGCATAGACAGTACGTAGAAAATAGAGGGGAGGACAAGAATAGTGTGGGAAATGTAGAGTCTAAAGAACTTGTGACACATGGACATAAACTAAAGGGGGGGAATGGTGGAGGGGGTGTGCAGGGTGGAGGGGAATGAAGGGGGAGAAATGGGACAAGTGTAGTGGCATAATCAATAAAATATATTTTAAAAAAACAAACTGATGATTCTTTTTTGTATTAACAGGCCTTTTAGTCTCTAAGCCTGTTCTGGTCACCTTTTTGGAGCAAATGAAGGAGTGCTGGATTGTGAATACAGAAAAGACAGGATCTGCCTCCCCAGGTAGGTGGGGTTGGGGAAGCAGGTGACAAAGGTGAGAGACCCAAAGGTCACGGAGGAGGCCCGACCTTCAAGTGTGGTTTGGGAAGCCAGACCTTTAAGTGTGGTCAGTGGATGGGATTTTCAGAATTTTAGGTGTATTTCTGCTGCTGTGGTAGAGGGCCAGTTTGTGTCTAACATGTCAGGTGACCTCTCTCATCCTGTTAGCACTTGGGGCCAAAGTCTTTTTCTTCACTTTCAAGACCTGCTGTGCTTTGGCTTCTGTTTCTTTGCTTTGGGGACTCATGAATATCTGTGTAGGTTGCTGTGAAATGTATGTTAAGCTTTTTTCTTTTCAACCTTTGCTTTTTTCTCATGGAAAGTGATTATAAACGAAAAGGTTGAGATCCTGGAATTTGGTGCAGAAATCCCAAGAACCCTAGGGACAGGTGTCATGTTTTCTGATTATAAAATGTAATACTATGGAGGCTTCAAATAAGACCTTACCAAGTTTAGAATGACTCAGTGATTTCATCCCAGCGAATTTCACCACCCGAAATGAGACAATCTAACTTTTTGTTTCACTTTAAAATGTCCTTTTGCTTAGTATGAAATCTTACCTCAAGTCCTGTTTGCTTTGGCTGTCCATGTCTGCCTCTCCTATCAGTCCAGATTAATGCTTCTTCTTTAACTCATTAGTTTTTAGGCTTTTGTACAGTTCGATTTTCTGGCAGTTTTGCTTATTTTTGGTGGTATATTGGTTGTTATCCTTCTTTTGCTTGTGTGAGGAAGCATAGCCGTTTACCTATGCTTCCATCTTTGCCAGACAGCCCCCAAAATCTAGCATCCTAACTGTCTATAACTGTATAGTCCATTCACGTTAAGTGTACTCTCTTTTTTGTTCGTGTGACCTCCTGCAAGTTCCATCTGACAGAAATGTTTCAGTGTACATTGAACAATTATTTCTTCATTTGCCTTAAAACCAAGTCTCAGGTAATTAATTACCTTTGTTTTTCTCCTGTGAGGTGGACCCCATTAGATTACTTACCTCAGTGTACCCTATAGTATCTGTCTCTTCGTGGTGCATGTGCCTCACTTAACAAATATCCTCAAAAATGTCATGTGTTGTTAAGATCTTCTTCAATTTCCTGACAGAAGACAACTCCTTTGTGTGTATATACTACTTTTTTTTTAATGTATTTATCCATAGACATCTGGGTTCCACCTATTATAGTCTTTCGTGAATTGTACTGTGGTCAACACAGGTGTGCCAATGTCTCTCGCAAGTCCTCCTTTGAATTTTTTTTGACAAACACCCAGAAGCAGAAGCGTGCAATTAGAAAACAATTCTATTTTCAATTTTTTTGATATTCCAGTTGTTATGGATACTGTTGGTACCAATTTATCTTTTATTTAGTCATCTATAAGGTCCATTTTCTCCACATTTTTTGGAAAACACTTAATATTGTTTGTTTTTTGTATACTGGTCATCTTAATTGTGAATATATATATATGTGCATATATATATATATACACACACACATATAGTGTGTGTGTGTTTCTGTGTATGTGTGTGTGTTTTAGTAGAGAATGCAAACATGTTTCTTGGACGTGCCTAAAGAACCATAGGAAAGACACAGAGACTTGAGTAAACATATATCAGAGAACAAGGTCTGTCAATGACTTTTAAAGTGCAGTTTTGGCTTTGCAGCAAAATTGTGTAGAAGTTAATAACAACTCACACATGCATAACCCCCACTTTTTCTCAGTTCCCTTCACCTGAGTAGTACATTCATGAAATTTATGCAGTTAAAGTGGTCCATCCTTATTAACCAAAGTTCATGTTCTTTGGTGAAATACTAAGGAGCCCATTTACTGTATCATATAATAAGTGTTTGTTTAGTTTTGTTAGAACCTCCAGACTGTCTTCCCTGGGACTGTACAATTTTACATTTTCAACAGCAATGAATGCAAGTTCTAGTTGCTCCTCATCCATAGCAGCATTTGCTGTTGTCAGCACAGCTTGTTCACTTTTCATAAGCATTTTCTTAATGACTTAAGATGTGGAGATTCTTTTCAGATACTGATTTTCTACTTATATATCTTTTTTAGTATGCTTTCTTTTAAGGTGTTTGAGCCTTTTTAGTCAGGTTTGTTCTCTTGTCGTTGTTGAGTTTAAAAACATCTTTGTATATTACATGTAATCCTGTGTATGTCATCATTAGCAAATATTTTTTCTTACTTTGTGAATTGTCTTTTTTTTGTCTCATGATGAGGATCATATTTCTTTTTCCTTAATGTTTTAGTTAGTACAATGGAGTTTAAATGTTAATAATACCGAATGAGGACTGCTGGCCAAGACGGAAGCATAGGTAGGTTAGATTCACTGTGCCTCCTTACCGAACCAAAATTAAGGACAACAAAAATTCAGAAACAAAAACACAACCAGAAATGACAAAACTGAAGTGTACAGAAGTCTGACAACCATTCATCCAGATTGATAAAAGGGTCAGAGTTGGAGGCTAGCAAAGAGGGGTTGTGGCAGGGGAAAATGGTGACTGGTGGACCTGGGCGAGAAGGTGTGGTTGGCAGACCCCAGGTACATAGGTGGCAGCTAGCAGACCCTAGGTGCAGGGAGCCAAGAAGCAGACCCAGTGAGGTGTGAAAGGTGACTGGCTGACCGAGGTCACATATTTTCGCGCAGATAAACCAGGCAAAAATGGGGAGCAGGAAAGACCGTGCAACCCAGGGCCCAGTGCTGGGAAATAATACCTAAAAGCACTGATTTAAAACACTTGTGGGGTTTGAGGTGCTAGTACAGACTTTCAGCCTCACAGAAGAGTTCATTGGAGAGACCCACAGGGTCCTAGAATGTACAAAAGGCCACCCACCAGGAAACAGTTGTGTTTTCCACTTTGCTTGTGGAAAGTGGCACAAGGGAGTGAAATCCAAGAGAGAGCAGAGCAAGAACCCATTGTTCACTCTCGGACCCCACCCCCACCTACACCGTCACAATTCAGCGATGTGGTTTGCCCCTCTGTGGTGCACACCTAAAGATCTGCCCCTCATTACATAACAGGCGCGACCAGACCCCCCCCAAAATGGCTCAAATGGAAGAACAGATCACAGCCCCAGAGTGAATACTTTTAAGCAACCAAGAAATAGCCAACCTATCAGGTGCACAGTTCAAAGCACTGGTGGTCAGGATGGTCACAGAACTGGTTGATTTTGGTGGCATATTAGATGAAAAAATGAAGACTATGCTAAGTGAAATGAAGGAAAATGCACAGGGAACCAATAGTAATGAGAAAAAAAAACTGGGACTCAAATCAATGGAGTGGACCACGGGAAGAAAGAAACAACCCAACAGAAGAGAATGAAGAAACAAGAATTCAAAAACATGAGGAAAAGGCTTAGGGACCTCCAGGACATCTTTAAACATTTGAATATCCAAATTATAGTGGTACCAGAAGGGGAAGAGGAACAGCAACAAGTGGAAAGCTTATTTGAACAAATAATAAAAGAGAATTTCCCCAATCTGGCAAAGGAAATAGACTTCCAGGAAGTCCAGGAAGCTCAGAGAGTCTCAAAGAAGTTAGACCCAAGAAGGAACACACCAAGGCACATCATAATTACATTAGCCAAGATTCAAATGAAGGAGAGAATCCTAGAAGCAGCAAGAGATAAGGGGACAGTCACCTACAAAGCAGTTCCCATCAGACTGTCAGCTGATTTCTCAAAAGAGACCTTACAAGCAAGTAGGGTCTGGAAAGAAGTACTCCAAGTCATGAAATCCAAAGGCCTACAACCAAGATTGCTCTATCCAGCAAAAGTTTCATTTAGAATGGAAGGACAGATAAAGTGCTTCTCAGATAAGATCAAATTCAAGGAGTTCATCATCACCAAGCCCTTATTATATGAAATGTTAAAGGGACTTACCTAAGAAAAAGAAGATACAAAATATGAACAGTGAAAGGACAGGAAACTCATAGTTATTAACAAACACCAGCTAGATCAGGAGTAAACAATAGAAATGGAGATCATATGGAGGGTTAGCAACAGGGGAGTGGGAGGAGGAGGAGAAGGGGGGAGAAGGTGCAGAGAATAAGTAGCATAGATGGTAGGTAGAAAATAGAGGGGAGGGCAAGAATAGTGTGGGAAATGTAGAAGGTAAAGAACTTACGACACATTGACATGAACTAAAGGGGAATGTGCATGGTAGGGGGTATTTATATGGATGGAGGGGAATGAAGGGGGGAAATGGGACAACTGTAATAGCATAATCAATAAAATATATATTAAAAAATAATACAGAGTCAAAAACAATATGATGAAGAATGTGTCTTGAGAAAGTGTGATGTATCCCTGGCTGGTGTGGCTCAGTGGATTGAGCACTGGCCTGTGAACCCAAGGGTCACTGGGTTGATTACCAGTAAGGGCACATGCCTGGGTTGGGGGCTAGGCCCCCAGTAGGGTACCTGTGGGAGGCAGCCATGCATTGATGTTTCTCTTCCTCTGTCCCATTTCTCCTTACCTTCTCCTCTCTCAAAATAAATATATATGCTTTTAAAAAAAGAAAAAAAAATGTGATGTGTATACCATTAATATTGTTTCATATTCAGTAACTTGCAGATTATGTTTGCAGTTGTATTTTTTAAAAGATTTAATTATCTTTAGATGGGAAGGGAAGGAGAGAGGAAGAGAAATATCAATCTATGGTTGCCTCTTGTGGGTATCCTGCCGGGAACTGGCCTGCAAACCATGCATGTGCCCTGACTGGTAATCAAACCACAGTTGTTTGGTTTGCAGGCCCGCGCTCAATCCACTGAGTTACACCAGCCAGGGCTTCAGCTGTATTCTTTGAATATACAATATAAGCATATAGAGTCACATCCTACAGGGGGACGTGATGAGGTCATCACTTTCTGACATTAAATGTCAACTCAAATAACATTTTTAATTCTTCCAAATGGTACACTACCAATAGAGCAATGGTGGGTTTTTTTTCAGTTCTGTATCTTCACTGTTGTAAAGAATGCTGCAGTTGATATGGGTGTGCATATACTCCTTTGAATTTGTATTCTCATATTCTTCAAGTAACTCCCCAGAAATGGAATTGCTGTGCCCTGTGGTACTTGTTTGTCAATCTCTGAGGAACCTTCATCTTGTTTTGTGTAGTGGCTGCATGAGAGTTCTCATTTCTTTGTATCATTGCTGATGCTCATTTGTTGATTTATTGGTAATTTCCATCCTGTTACATGTGTGATGGTATTTCATCATGGGTCCAAGTTGCATTTCACTGATGATGAATGATGTTGAACATCTTTTCATATGTGTATTGGCCATCTTCCTGTCTTGTTTGAAGAAAGATCTATTCAGGACATGTACCATTTTTTAATCAGATTGTTTGATTTTTTTCGATGTTGTTTAAATTCTTTATATATTTTGGATATTTAGCATCATTGGTGGATAACTTTCCCTGTTTGGTAGATTGGTTATTTGTTTCTTTGTTTTGTTGATGGTTTCCTTTGCTGTGCAAAAACTTATATTGTTGTCATGTCATTTGTTTATTCTTGATTGCTGTATGTACATACATACCTACATATGTACAAAAACACATTTGTAAGATCTACAGCACATATCATCGACTATCCTTTATTCCAGTGTTTTCATATTTCCAGGTCTTCCATTCTGGTTTTTAATCCATTTTGGTACATGGCATAAGAAAGTGGTCTAGTTATGTTATTCTGTGTGTATTAGTTCAGTTTCTCTTTCACAACTTATTGACACTAACTTGAGTTGAGTCCTGAAAACCCACTACCATCAGACCAGCCTCTCTCGCACAACTTAAGAAAGTATCTGTCTGTTCTCATTTTGTGTCCCTAACTTTTTTCTTATAGATTAGTTAACCATATGTCTTTGGTAATTTCTAAAATTGTGTTACTTATTTTATCATGGTATTTTTTAAAGATAACTTTATATATTCAGAATGCTAAAGATTTAGAAAATATATGCTTTGCACTAATTTTCTTCCATTCCACAGGTTGTATTTTTCACCCACTGATGATTATTCTTAATGTGCAGAAGTTTTTCTATTTGGTATAACGCCATTTGTCTCTCTTTACTTTGTTTGCCTTTTTTTTTTTTTTTTTTTTTTTTTAAAAAAAAAAAAAAAAAAAATTTTTTTTTTTTTGTAGATTAACAGTTACTGGTTTTATGTTAAGTTTTCCTCCACTCTTATTCACTATTTGTATATTTCATGTAGGGGTCCAACTTTACTCATTATTTTACACATGGACCACCAGTCTTTTTCAGCAGTCTTTGATTATGTGAATATCCTTTCCATACTTGGTTGTATTTAGCCTCCTTGTTGAAGCTCCTCTGAACTTATATAGAAGAAGTTGTATGTAGGCTCTTTCATCTACTGTGCTTAATTATTTATGTCTGCCTTAATGGTTTTTGTATACTTTATTGGTAAGAGAAGCTTTGAAAAATGTTTTTGAAAATATTTTATGTAGTTTTACGGAGAGGGGATTGAGGGAGGAAAAAACGGAGAGAAACATTGATATGGGAGAGACAAATCAGTTGGTTGCATCTGTTCTGCTTCCAAAGGGAGATGACCTGCAACCCAGGCATCTGCTCTGACTTGGAATTGAACCAGCCACCTTTTTTGGCAAATGATGCTAACCCCAATGAGTTACACCAGTCAGCACCCATCTTAATTTTTTAAATATTTTATTTATGCATTTTTAGAGAGAGGAGAAGGGAAGGAGAAAGAGAAGAGAAACATCAGTGTGTGCTTGCCTCTCATGTGGCCTCCATTAGGGACCCGACCTGCAAGGCAGGCATATGCCCTGACTTGGAATCGAACTGGTGACTCTTTGGTGACCCTCTCAGCCCACACTCAATTCACTGAGCTACACCAGCCAAGGCCCCAACTTAATTTCAGAATGAACTATTCTATTTTTGCCAAAAGTGTCACTGGGATTTTGATAAGTATCGCTTTAAATGTTTAGATCACCTGGGTTACTATTGATGGCTCACACTGTTATCATTCCAGTGTATGATCATGGGATAAATTTTTTTAATGTTCAGTTTATTAATCCTCTTATGAAAAATCTGCATAGTTCCCACCGATAAAGTCACTGAAGAATCTTTTCTCATTTGTTAGCACCTATATTGGCCATGGCAGTCCCCCTGACTTTTTTCGTACTATTCTTGTGTACCTATCTCTGTTTTCTTCTTCTTATACAGGCTATTTTGTACAAGTGTATGTTTAGGATTTTTTTTTGTGTGTAATTTATTGGATCATAAATCAAGACAAAGCCAGTTGTCTTGCCACGTCTAAAATGGGTTTTGAATCCCAATACAAAGGTGACATCTGGGCTGGTCCTACACCTTTTGACTAGTTTTTGTTTTTTTTTAAATTCATTGAAGAGGAACAAGTATGCTATGACCAAGTACTATTTCACAAAGTAGACCATATAACTATGACCTTTCATAAATGAAAATATTACCTCTATCTCTGCTTGTGGTTTCTTGGTTTTATGGTGCAATCTATCAAGAATCAGAATTTCATTTCAATCTAATATATTATGATGAAAGGCAACATAAACCACAAGAGTCATTATCCAGAGACATAGAGTGGCCAGGAAATCAGTGAAAAGAATGGAGACCAGAGCTCCAAGTCAAAACATTTCAGCTAAGAAGTAATTCATCAGCAGTTCCATATTCCTGGAAGGAAAGGAAATTGTATCAATACATGCTACATCCTTAATGAAACAGACAATTCTTACACTTTTTTACAGGCCTTTCTCTGTAATCACAGGGATCTAGGCCACAATGTGATTAGCAGGCAGAAAATCAAGCTACAAAGACCAGTTTCTTTGTAAAAATAAACATATTTACTTCATTAATTTAAATACTACACATTTTTGTATTCACACATGAATTACTGTGTCATTTATGATGGTGACCAGTCTTCAAGAAAGAAAGGAAAGAAAACTGAATTTTTCATTAATTGTTTTTTTCTTAAATATGAACTTTTTGATGTGACTTTTTCTTATTATACCTTTTCTTGCTTTAACTTTCTTTAGGAGTACTCAAAAATGGAATGCAGTCAGAACTTGCTGGTAAGTTCAATATATGCTCCCCAGAGTGTCAAAGCTGTGAAAATTTATTTTGTATCTTTCAGCTGTTTCATCTGAAGGCAGTCAGGCCTTGTTGAGAAAGCTGGGGATGGAAGATTTATTCTCTACAGTAATACTGGTAAGATATGGAAGGTGTGCCTGTGATCATGTAATGAGAGCCTGATAAGAAAGTGTGTGATGAGAAAAAGAGATGTTAAAAGGAACTTAACCAATGTAGGACAATTATTCCTTGAGAAAATTCTTGTTATCTCTATAGGTCAAAAATAGTACACATTAGGGAAATATCCTACTTTAAGTTAGTGACAATGCAGATAAATGTCTAAATGTGAAGACTAGAAACTCATTTCCTGTGTGTATATATTCTTGCAAAGGCAGTCAGGACATCTAGGAACTCACATAATCCATGGTGTGAATAATCATTAGAATTGATTAAATTGTAGATTTAGATTAATTTTTTGTCAGTGCTTTCTAAAATTTACTGATATATAACACACATGGACAATGTAAATATGATCATTTTCACAATCTTTTTTTTTGAAGAATGATTATTCTTTGTTGAGAAATAAGGATTGTTTTCATATTTAAGTATGTATCATGTATACTTGGGAGTGATTTTTTGAAAAATTTGATTCATATTTAGAGAGAAGGAAGGGAGGGTTAAAAAGAAAGCTAAACATTGTTTTGGGAGGGAAACCTCAAATGGTTGCCATTTGCACACACCATTACAGTAAACGAATCCTACAATCCAGGCCAGCTCCCCGATTGGAACTAGAACTGGAAAGTGTTCACTTCGTGAAACGGTGCTCAACTGAATAGTCACACCTTACATAGCTGGGCACATTTTTAAATACATACAACCCATATTGTTTAGTAGATGCCACAGAATAGTTATTTGGGAATACGTGTACATGTATAATGAAATTAAAGCTGTAATTAATGGCCTTTCTGTCTTCATTAATTACCAGAGTACATGTAATGAAGGCAGAAGTTATCAAGGTAATGAACATTGGAAAAATTTTGACTGTGGGTTTAATCCTTACAAACATGAGAATCTCCAGCTGCCAGACAACCATTATAAAGGCCAGAAACTCTTTGAGAAAATGTCAAGTTACAGTACACATGAGGTTATTCCTATTGTGGAGAAAACAAACAAACAAGGTGAATGTGTCCAGTCTTTGAAGCAATCCTCCAGTCACATTAAACAAGGGAATATTGGTACCAGTGAAGTCACTTACAAATGTGAACCGTGTAGCAAAGTCTTCAGTCTTATACTCAATCAAAATAGACATCTTAAGAAATGCCAGACTGGAGAAAACCATTCTGAATATAAAGAATGTGGAAAAACATTCAGTCAAACTTCAGGTCTTACTGTACATGAGAAAATTGATACTGGAAAGAAGTTTTCCAAATGTAAAGCATGTGGCAAAGTGTTTAAAGGGCATTCATGCTGTACTTCACATGAGAAAAGAATTCATACTGGGGAGAGACGTTACCAGTGCAGAGAATGTGGTAAAGCCTTTAGCAAGTTGTCATACCTTACACGGCATGAGAGAATTCATACAGGAGAAAAGCCTTATAAATGTGGAGAATGTGGTAAAGCCTTTAGCCAGTCCTCAGGGCTTATTCAACATCAGAAAACTCATACTGGGGAAAAGCCTTATAAATGTAGAGAGTGTGGTAAAGTCTTTAGCAAGGCATCATACCTTACACGTCATGAGAAAATTCATACAGGAGAAAGGCCATATAAATGTAGAGAATGTGATAAAGCCTTTGTGTGGTTGTCAAACCTTACACGACATGAGAGAGTTCATACTGGTGAGAAGCTTTTTCAATGTAGAGTGTGTGGTAAAGCTTTTAACCAATCCTCAAAACTTAAATGTCATCACAGAATTCATACTGGAGAGAAGCCATATAAATGTAAAGAATGTGATAAATCCTTTCGCCAGCCCTCAGCGTTTATTCACCATCAGAAAGTTCATACTGGAGAGAAGCCTTATCAATGTAGAGAATGTGGTAAAGCCTTTACAGAGTCCTCAATCCTTACTAAACATCAGAGAATTCATACTGGTGAGAAGCCTTATAAATGTAGAGAATGTGGTAAAGCCTTTACGGAGTCCTCAACACTTACTAATCATCAGAGAATTCATACTGGAGAGAAGCCTCATGAATGTAGAGAATGTGGTAAAACTTTTCGGGTGTCCTCAACCCTTACCAAACATCAAAGAATTCATACTGGAGAGAAGCCTCATGAATGTAAAGAATGTGGCAAAGCTTTTAGGGTGTCCTCAACCCTTACCAAACATCAAAGAATTCATACTGGAGAGAAGCCTCATGAATGTGGAGAATGTGGTAAAGCTTTTAGGGTGTCCTCAACCCTCATTCAACATCAGAAAATTCATACCTTGTAGAAGTCTTATAAATGAAGAGAATGTGGCAATTCCTTTAGGCAGTGGACCACTGTTAGTGAACATAAAGAAGTCATGATGTAGAAAACCCTTATTCATGTACAGAATGTGTAAATCATTTTGCCAGCCCTCAAACCTTACTGAAGATTAGAAAATTCATAGTGGTTTAAAGTCTTATATGTGTAAGAAATGTGGCAGGGCCTTTAACCAGGGTTTTAACTTAATTGGATTTTGGAAAGTTTACACTGGACAAAAATTTTTCAAATGTAACAATTGTAAAGTTTTTAACAACTCTCAAAATTCACTCAGCATCACAGAATTCACAAAACTGGAGAGAAGCCTTAGGAATATGTAGAGTGCAAGAAATACAAAAAGAGACCTACAGATACCAGGAATGTGGTAAAGACTTTTGTTTGCAGTGGATTCTTACTAGATTTTTGTATAATTCATTCTCAAGAAGTTTTACAAATGTGGAAAATCCATTATCTGCCACTTAATTAGCAAATATCAGAATTTACAGAAGAGGTAAATGTTAAATATGTAGATAATATGGCAAAGCCATTACTTGCTTCTCAAAACGTACTGATCAGATCATGGAGAGAGCTTGCATTACCAAATAGACCCATGGTGGGGAGACAAAATATTATTACTGAATGGACCCACCTTCTTCCCCCTGTTTTATGTTCACCTTTCCCCCTTCCAAGGAGTTATGACTCTCAATGTCAAAGATTGGTGAAATGAATTATTTATTCAAAAGTTATATAGACTTAGAGTAGTGACTTACTGTCTTTGTTAAAATCCCAAAGCCCCTTAAAACACCAACAAACACACAGAATCCTTCCTTCCCCCTTTGTCCAGTCCAGGGTACTGTATCTCAGGAAAAAAGAAGAAGTCAATGGCTCTGGTAGCCCCTGATTCTTCTCAGTAATCTGTACTCAGCTGGCAGGCCTCCTGTGGTTCCCAGCACCATCAGCTGTGTTGCCAGGATCTCCAGTTAATCCAAAACCATGTGGTACCTTCTCATGGTCCACCAGCAAGAGTCCTTTCACCTCTTTTCTTCCCATAGCATGCCTCCTGCATTCTTCCAAACTACTAAGGAGAGCTCTGCATTGCTGCTACATCTTGCTTTCCAGCTTTCTAAGCTGTGTGGCAAAGGGAGTTCCCAAAGCCAAAGTTCCATGGTCCCCTCTTACTCCAAGCTCTCACACAGGCACTGCAACCAAGGGGAGCTGCTTCCCAGTTACATCCATTACAAATACCTATTTGGGGTCCCCCACCTGGCTGCACCCTGTACACTTGGAGATATAAAAAGTATGGGAAAGCATTTTTATTGGAATTTGTACAGTACTAAACATCAGATAAAACATTGACAAAAAAACACAGAAAATGTGGCAAATTTTCTCACTACTGTTGTCTATCCCACACAAAATGAGACCAATCACAGTGGAGAGAAGGCTTACAAATGTAAAACATGAGGCAAAGCTTTAAAATGAAATTCATGTCTTTATGTGATAGATGAATTCATACTGGGGTGAACTCTTGCAAGTATAGAGAATGTAACAAATCCTTTGGATTAGTAAGCACCATCACAGGATTTATATTGTTTAGGAAAACATATAAATAGATAATTTGGCAAATCTTATATCCAGTCCTCAAGTTCTAGTGACCATGAGCAATATACTGAAGGAAAGCTGTATAATTATGGCCTGACTGTGTGCAATGACTTTAATTGCTCCTCAAAAATTACTTGAAATTAGAGTATTCATACTGGAGTGAAACCTTACAAATGTAGTGTAGGTGACAAAAGTGTTAATTATCATGGATCTCTTAACATGATAGAAGTCATACTGAAGAAAAACCATACAAATACAGAGAATTTGGATAAGGTTTAACCATGATTCAAAACTTACTCTGTATCGGAGAATTCCTGTGTCCCTTAAAAAGACACAATAAAAATACAAACAATTTAAAAATAACTTTCACCATTGGTCAAGCCTCATTCAACGTCAGAGAATTTATTTTGAAGAGAAGTGCTATAGATGTATCAAGTCCTTAATCCTCATTCATACCTACTTAACAACCTATTCATACTGGAGAAAAGCCAAAAAGAAAAAATGTGGAAAAGCTTTAGCAAGTACTCAGACCCTACTCAACATCAGAATTCATTCTAAAGAGAAAAAATATTAATGAAAAGAATGTTTAAGACTTCTTTGCACATTAATAGCTTATTTGACACATGAGAATTCATACAAGATGAAAATCTTAAAGGTCTGTGAACTCTTACAAATTGGGTTTCAGTCATGTACTTTTCCGTAGAAGACTGAGGGCATCGTAATCCACAATATATGAACAAAATCTGAATGGAGATACTGTGTGGTTGACTCTGAACTTTGCATGTCATCACGAGGGCATATTTTTGCATAAGAAAGAGAAACATTAAGCCCCAGCCGGGTAGCTCAGTTTGTTAAACCATTGTCCTGATTCAGCAGGATTGTATGTACGTTTGATCCCTGGTTAGAGCACATACAAGAAGCATCAATGAATGCACAAATAAGTGGAATAACAAATGGATGCTTCTCTCTATGTCTTCCTCTCTGTAAAATCAATAATTTTTTTGAAAAGAAAAATATTAAGAATTTTTTAATTTTGTAATAACTTGTTGGAATAAAATTCATGTAGCCCTGGCTGGTGTGCTCAGTGGATTGAATTGATTTATATTTGTGTGCATGAATGTATCAATGGTTTTTGCAAATGTCATCATTTCATAAATAAGTTTTTAATTTAATAATTGTAATGATATCTTGAGCTCTGGTTGGTGTGGCTCAGTGGACTGAGTGCCAGCGTGTGAACCAAAGGTTCACTGGTGTAATTCCCAGTCAGGGCATATGCTTGGGTTGTGGACCAGGTCTCCCTCACTCAGTAGGGGCACATGACAGGCAACCACACGTTGATGTTTCCCTCTCTTCCTCTTCCCCTCTCTCTAAAAATAAATAAATAAAACTTAAAAAAAATTATATCTTGAGTATATTCCATAGTTGTAATTAGAAGGTAGTAACATATTGTGTATATAGATTAGCACAAATTTAATAACTATGTAGTTCCATGTTAAAGTACCACATTTTTTACAATTTCAGAGAATTCTTTGTCCTTGTACTTTAAGGGTTATATCAGTTACATAACTATTTTATTCTTTAGGTTCAATTCTAAAGGCCATGGTGTTTGGCAAGTTAACTAACAACTTTAGACCTTAGGCAAGTATTTTATATGTCTGTAACATGTTTTCTTCTCTGTAAGATGAGAACAGCTCTGTTTCTAGTGAGCTATTATGTTGATAAGAAGTTAAACGTAAACTATTTAAAGTAATGCCTAGCACATTCGACATATTCAGACTTTTAGTTAATTGCCCTGGCTGGTGTTGCTCAGTGGGTTGAGCATCAGACAGTGAACCAAAAGGTCACCAGTTTGATTCCAGGTCAGGGCACATGCCTGGGTTGCAGGCCAGGTCCCCATTTGGGGATGAGAAAGAGGCTGCTGGTCAATGTTTCTCCCCACACACTTGCTTTTCTCCCTTTTTACCTCTTCCCCACATACATACATACATAAAAATTTATATTTATATATATTTATATATTTATATATAATAAAGATATTATCTATTCTATATATTATAAATATATATAATAAATATAAATTTATATATATATTTTTTCAAGCCTTGGGTGGTGTGGCTTGCTTGGAGTGTTGTTCCATAGCCAGAGGGTTGTAGGTTCGATTTGTGGTCACCTGGGTTGCAAGTTAGATCCCCTGTCTGGGTGTATATCAGAGGCAGCCGGTTGGTGTATCTGTCACACATTGACATTTTTCTCTTTCCCTTCTCTTTCTAAAAATAAAAATAAAAAAAGGAAAAGTATTTTTACGATCAACAGTATGTTAAAACTGTGGCAAAGTCCAGATGAAAGACGTGGCCCCAATGTACTTTGAAGTAAGCTGTCAGTTGAATTAAGTGGGTCCTGTGAATTTCTTGCTTTTGGAGAAAACAGAATCTCCAAAAGGAGATTTATAGAACAGAATAAACACATTTAGCTTGGGGAGCATAAAGACCTTGCAGTAAATTTATAGAGCTAAAAATGCCTTGCTAATAGTTGTGGGTGGAGCTCTTGTGTATCACATAAATTGCTGTTCTTTTAATACAATGCTCTATTGTTGAGAGATCTACAAACTTGTACCATACAATCATTGTGACCTGGTAGGCCTACAATAATCTTTGGGAGTGTAAGTATAAGAAGGAACTGAATGAGGAAAGGTGCTAATTTCACAAGAAAGGCATTATTTCTGGTATTTATTAGATATGACTAGGTGAAGTCAGGAACAAGGAAACAGAGAGCTGTATGTTCTCAAGAAAACTGGAATTAAGGAAAGGATGGCAGGGTTTATTAAGGTGTTAGCTCTGTGTTCTACCATAATGTGTCAAGTGAGGACTGCACACAGGCAGTGAATCAGAAAAACTCAAGATGCTTTTAACATACTGGTTTGTGACTTAAAACATGTAGATTTGTCTTGTTAAAATTTATTAGGAAGGGTAGTATTATTTTCTGTGAATAAAGGAGGGACAAATCATTTCTGGTACGTCCAGTCATCACTCTCCTGGAAAGTTACATATCTCTGCCTATTGATATTAAGCTTGCCTTAGGTATAAGTCGTGAGATGTATGAAAATAAAATGAGGAGAAAACAGAGGTTTGTGTCCTGGTTGGTATGGCTTAGTGGATTTAGCGTGGGCTTGCGAACTGAAAGGCTGCCAGTTCAATTCTTGCTCATTTCACAAGCCTGAGTCTCAGGCCAGGTCCTCAGTTGGTGGTGTGCGAGATGGAACTGATAGATGTGTCTCTCATGCATTGATATTTTTCTCCCTCTCCCTTTTTCCCCTGTCTCTAAAAATAAATATATAAAATCTATTTAAAATGTCACTTAAAAAATAGAGGTTTGTTGTGGTAAGCCAAAGAGAATTGAGAAATGTGACTGACATCATTTCAGTGAGGGTTTTTTTTTTTAAAGATTTTATTTATCTATTTTTAGAGAGAGGGGAAGGGAGAGAGGGAGAGAAACATCAATGGTTGCCTCTTGTGCACCCCCTACTGGAGACCCAAGCATGTGCCCTGACTGGGAATTGAACCGGTGACCCTTTGGTTCATAAGGCTGTGCTCAATCCACTGATCCCACCAGCCAAGGGGGTTTGTTTTTTTTTTTAATTACTTTGTTTGTGTTTTTCAATGACAGTTTCTTTTTTTCTTTTCTACCTAAACCCCGCAAAGGCAAGGTTATACAGATGGGAGCACATCATGTCTCATAATTGTACCACCTTCAAAATCTTGATTTCAATAATACCTTTCCTATATTATTACCCTCATTTCTTCTATTCCATACTTTCTATTCCATTAAAATAGCCCTTTATTTCTCTTTAAATATATTTTATTGATTATGCTATTACACTTGTCCCATTTCCCCCTCTTCATTCCCCTCCACCCTGTACACCCCCTCCCACCCACATTTCTCCCTTTAGTTCATGTCCATGTGTCATAAGTTATTTAGCTTCTACATTTCCCATACTATTCTTGTCTTCCCCCTATTTTCTACCTACCATCTATGCTACTTATTCTCTATACCTTTTCCCCCTCTCTCCTCCCGCTCCCTGTTGCTAAACCTTCCATGGGATCTCCATTTCTGTGGTTCTATTCCTGTTCTAGTTGTTTGCTTAGTTTTTGTTTTTGTTTTAGGTGTGGTTGTTAATAACTGTGAGTTTGCTGTCCTTTCACTGTTCTTATTTTTTATTTTCTTTTTCTTAGATAAGTCCCTTTAACATTTCATATAATAAGGGCTTGGTGATGATGAATTTGACCTTATCTGAGAAGCACTTGTTCTGCCCTTCCATTCTAAATGAAAGCTTTGCTGGATAGAGCAATCTTGGATGTAGGTCCTTGCCTTTCATGACTTGGAGTACTTCTTTCCAGATCCTACTTGCTTGCAAGATCTCTTTTGAGAAATCTGCTGACAGTCTGATGGGAACTCCTTTGTAGGTGACTGCTCTTTACCTCTTGCTGCTTCTAGGATTCTCTCCTTCATTTCAATCTTGGCTAATGTAATGATGATGTGCCTTGGTGCGTTCCTTCTTGGGTCCAACTTCTTTGGGACTCTCTGAGCTTCCTGGACTTCCTGGAAGTCTATTTTCTTTGCCAGATTAGGGGAGTTCTCCTTTATTATTTGTTTAAATAAGGTTTTTTTGAACAAACTTATTTGTTCAAATAAGTTTTCCACTTGTTGCTCTTCCTCTTCCCCTCCTGGTACCCTATAATTAGGATGTTGGAATGTTTAAAGATGTCCTGGAGGTTCCTAAGCCTCTCCTCATGTTTTTGAATTCTTGTTTCTTCATCCTTTTCTGTTTGGTCATTTTTTTCCTCCTTTTAGTCCACTCCATTGATTTGAGTTCCAGTTTTCTTTCCATCACTATTAGTTCCCTGTGCATTTTCCTTCATTTCAGTTAGCATGGCCTTCATTTTTTCATCTAATATGTCACCAGAATCAACCAGTTCTGTGAGCATCCTGACCACCAGTGCTTTGAACTGTGCGTGTAATAGGTTGGCTATATGTTCATCGCTTAGTTGTGTTTGCTGTGGAGCTTTGATCTGTTCTTTTGTTTTGGGCCACTTTTTTTGTCTTGTCGCACCTGTTATGTATGAGGGGCGCAACCCTAGGTGTTCACCAGGGCAGTGCAACCCCTGTCACTGGGTTGTGATGCTCTGTGTGGGGGCAAGGTCTGAGAGGGAACAATGGTGCTTGCACCACTCTCTGTCGGATCTCACTCCACTCTGCTGCTTCCCCCAAGCAAACGGCCTTTCTGGTGCTGATTCCCATGTGGATGGTCTTGTGTACATCCTGGGATCCAGTAGGTCTCGCCAGCCAACTCTCCTGTGAGGCTGGAAGTCTGTCCCTGGGCCTCAAGCCCCACAGGTGTTTTCAATTGGTGATTTGAGGCTTTATTTCCACACATTGGGACCCTGGGTTACGTAGTCTTTCCCACTCCCCAGTTTCGCCTGGTTTATCTGCATGCAAATGTGGAACCACCCGGTCAGCCAGCTTGTGCACAGTGTCTTGCTTCACAATCACCGCCTTGCTGGGTCTGCCCATTGCTACCCCGCACCCGGGTTTTGCCAGCCGCAGCCTGTATGCCCAGGGTCTGCCTGCTGCCATCTTGCACTCCTGAGGTGTCTTTCGTGCCTGGTGCCACCGCTTTTTGTGCTGCGACCCTTCTCCATCCAGCTGCCCAATTCCACCCGGCTTATCGGTCTGTATGAATGTGTCTATTTTATCTCCTTGGTTGTCCGACTTCCATACAGTTCCATTTTCTGTCAGTTCTGGTTGTTATTTTGTTTCTGAATTGTTGTTGTCCCTATTTTGGTTGTGCAAGGAGGCATAGTGTGTCTACCTATACATCTTGGCCAGCAGTCTCTTTATTTCTAATTAATCTAGAAATCCACTGCCTCATTTTCTACCTTCCTCAGTGGACTACATATTGCCATTTACAGCATTTTCAACTGGTTTATCATGATGGAGTATTTGTAAATAACCTCAAGCACCTAGACCTCTTTCACCAGGCTGCCTGCACTCAGGAATCCTTCGACCTGGGTGAGCTGTTTCCAACTCATGACCCTTCAATACGATGTACAGAAAACCAAAGCAAAGAGAATGAAAAGAAAAGAACCATTAGGCTTATAGGTGTTTTGTTAATTTCTATAGTTTTTTAGTGAGTGTTTCAATTGTGTGTGTTTTTAGAGTGTGTTTCATGCCATAGGGGCAAATTGTAAATGTTGATATGTTCTGGTTTTTTGTTTCATTGAATTTAGTTATATTTTAATTTTCACTTCAGTTTCTTCTTTCTCCACTGTTAACGACAAGCATGTTATTTTCCAAATATTTCAGCATTTCCCAGAGATTTTTC